TTACCACCGATATTTCATTTGGCGGGATAATGTATTTTTACTAGTTCTATGAATATCGATGGTTATTTTTATTATAAACATTATAATTACTCTAATGTTATAAACATTAGTAACAGGAAAATAAAATAACGCAAAATAATTTCGTAAATTAAAGAAAAGGGTAAACAGACGAGACAGGCAGTGCAAGTGGAGCCATTTATGTTTGTAAACAATCAAACAAGTAAACTCAAAGTGGGCCCGTCACGTATACGTGACGCCCGGCGCGAATGGGTTAAGATTGTTGTAGAGATAGGGGTAGTAGAAGGGCGGGGGCGTGTCGAAGAGGGAGTATATATATATATATATACACACGCATGCATACATGTATACATGTATATAAATATATATATATATATATATATATATATATATATATATATATATATGAATGTATGTATAAATACATACAAATACAAATTAGTTAAATATATATGTATATGCATGGCCGGATTTATGACCTTTTGGGGCCCCTAGGCTAATAAAATTATGGGGCCCCCTCAGAATATTTTTTACTCGTGATATATTTTAACGACATTTACATAGCTATCTTTTATTTGTCAATAAAAATATTCTTTAAATGTATATGTATATATACGTATATATATATATATATATATATATATATATATATATATATACATATATGTACATATCTCTGTGTATATATATGTATATATATATATATATATATATATATATATATATATATATATACGTATGCGTATATATATATATATATATATATATATATATATATATATATATATATATATGTATGTATATATATGTATATGTATATATACGTATGTATGTATATATATATATATATATATATATATATATATATATATATATATATATGTATGTATATATGTATGCGTATATGTATATACACATGTATGTATATGTATATGTATGTATATATATATATATATATATACACGTATGTATATATATATACGTATGTGTATATATATATATATATATATATATATATATATATATATATATACGTAAGTATATATATGTACGTACGTATATACATATATATATATATATTCACGTATGTAAATATATATATATATATATATATATATATATATATATACATATATATATACATGTATGTATATATATATATTCACGTATGTGTGTATATATATACATGTATGTGTGTATACACATACACGTATGTGTGTATATATACATATATATCTGTGTGTATATATACATGTATGTGTGCATATATATACACCTATGTATATATATAAATATACATGTATGTGTGTATATATGCATACGTATGTGTGTATATATGCATACGTATGTGTATATATATATACATATGTGTGCATATATATACACGTATGTATGTATATATACACATGTATGTATATATATATACATGTATGTATATATATATACACATATGTATGTATATATATATACACATATGTATGTATATATATATACACATATGTATGTATATATATATATATATATATATATATATAAATATATATATATATATATATATATATATATATATATATATAAATATATATATATATATATAAATATATATATATATATATATATATATATATATATATATATATATATATATATATATATATATATATATATATATATATGCATATACATACATGTCGTCGTCTCGTCATAGACCAGGGAGGTCCGTGGACGCAGTTGTGAGGAGTTGTCGCCACAGATTTCGGTCCTGCGCAGCAGCCGCTACTCCTGCGCGGCTTCGCCCGGTCCACTTCGCCAGGTCGTCCTGCCAGGTCCGCCTTGCCCGGTGCTCTTCCATGAAGGATGATGCATGTGAGGGGTACTGTTCAGGGTGCCTTGTCACGTGTCCAAACCACCTCATCTTCCTCATCTTTGCCTGTTGGCAGATGGAAATTAGTGGTCCCGTTCCTGCTCGCCGTTGAATTTCTTCCTTCACCTAGACATTTGTTTTCCGGTCCCTAAAGGTCACCCGCAGCAGTCTTCTGTAGCATCTGAACTCGAAGGCTCTCAGTCTTTTCTCCATTTCTTCGGTAAATGTCCATTCTTCGCATCCGTAGAGCAGTACTGAGCATACGATTGCTCGAAGAAGTCGTTGCTTTACTGCGACGGATATATTGTTGCTTTTCCAGATTGTGCCGAGCTTTTTCAGAGCCGATTGTGCAACTGTAATCCGGATTTTCAGTTCTTTGGTTGATTTCCCATTCTCAGCAATTGTGCAGCCTAGGTACTTGAATTGGCTGACTTGCTCCAGCTTTCCCCCATTCGCCTCTATGTCCGTACTAATTCTTGTGTGTTTATCACCGTCAATGAACATCAATTTACTTTTTTCTGCGCTAATCTCCATCCCGAATTTTCTGGACGTTTCATCAAGCTTCCTGGTCAGTTCTTCCAGCTCCTGCTCTTTCGACGTGATGAGCGCTATGTCATCCGCAAATCTGAGGTTGTTTATCTCTCTTCCATGGATGAGAACACCACCTTCGAAGTCTAACAGTGACCTGCTGATGATTTCCTCCAGGAATGCGTTGAACAACATCGGGGATAGGATGCAGCCTTGTCTCACTCCAACACCACACTTGAAGTATCCACTTCTGTGCTGTCCCACTTGGACACTACTTTCAGCATTCGTAGAGATTTTCCAATACCACCATTATCTCCTCATCAATTTCTTGCTTTCTGAGCACTGCCCATAATGCTTCATGCCATACTCTGTCGAATGCTTTCTTGTAGTCAATGAAATTGCAGTGAACAGCCATCTGGTGTTCAATGTACTTCTCCCCAATTACCCTCAGATTACAAACTTGTTCAGCCGTGCTCCTGTTTGCTCTGAACCCAGCCTGTGCATCATCGAGGGTGCTCTCGATTGCCTTTTCAATCCTTCTCTGGAGGAACTTCAACATCACCTTACTGGCATGACTGATCAAACTCACAGTACGGTATTCTGAGCATTTGTTGCTGACTTTCTTTGGGATTAGTATCAATATTGATTTTGTCCACTCTTGAGGCCATTCTCCTGTAGTCAGGATCTTGTTGCAGATGTCAAGCAGAGCTGTGGTAACATCTTCACCGCCATGCTTGATGAGCTCAGCTGGGATATTGTCGATTCCTGCAGCTTTGTTGTTCTGCAATGATTTGATGGCGTACTCGATTTCTTCTCTAGTGATGTTTGGCGCTTTGGAACTTGGAGCAGCCTTGTCCATCAAATCCTGCAGTGCCACTGTATCTTTAGGCGCATTGTGGTTGTACAGTCCGTTGCAGTATTCCTTCCATCTATCGAGTACATGTATGTGTGTATATATACCTGTATGTATGTATATGCATATATATATATATATATATATATATATATATATATATATATATATATATATATATATATATATATATACGTGTATATATACATACTCATGCATATATATACATACACGTATGTGTATATACATACACGTATGTATATATATACACGTATGTATATATATATATACACACACATGCATGTGTGTATATATATACACGTATATATATGTGTGCATATATATACATATATATATATATATATATATATATATATATATATATATATATATGTATATATATATATACATATATATACATATATATACATATATATATATATATATATATATATATATATATATATATACATACGTGTGTGTGTATATATATATATATATATATATATATATATATATATATATATATATATATATATATACATATATACACACATACATGTATATATATATACATACGTGTATATATATATATATATATATATATATATATATATATATATATATATATAAATATATACACGTATGTATATATATATACACACATGTATATGTGTATATATACACATGTGTGTGTGTGTATATATATATATATATATATATATATATATATATATATATGTATATATATATATATATATATATATATATATATATATACACGTATGTATATATATATATATACATGTATGTGTGTATATATACACATATGTGTGCATATATATATACACACATGTATATATATATATACACACTTATGTGTTATATATATACATGTATGTGTGTACATATATACACATATGTATATATATATATATATATATATACATATGTGTGTATATATATACACGTCTGTATATATATATATATATATATATATATATATATATATATATATATATATACACGTATGTGTGTATATATATGTATATATTCACACACATTATATATATACATATATATATATATATATATATATATATATATATATATATATATATATATATATTATATATATATATACACACACATATGTATATACATACATTTATACATATACACACGTATGTGTGTGTATATATACACGTATGTGTGTATATATATACACGTATGTATATATATACATATATGTGTGTATATATATACACATATGTATATATATATATATATATATATATATATATATATATATATATATATACACATGTATATATATACATATATGTGTGTATATATATACACATATGTATATATATATATATATATATATATATATACACATATGTATATATATATATACACATATGTATATAT